TGCGATCGGATCCTTGCGGTTGAGGTCCAGGGGTGCACACTGCGATCGGATCCTTGCGGTTGAGGTCCAGAGTCCAGGGGTGCACACTGCGATCCGGAGCTGGCCAGACAAGATCGGCGAAGCAGATTGGCGATGAAGATTGGCGAGGAGGCGGCGGAGGCGGAGGCGGAAGAACAACTGTGATAAAATCTAACAACCCTCACCTGGCAGGTGGGGAAAAAAGAAAACACGAGCGACGTGGCAAGACAAATCCAGTCAGCTACAGCGGGACATCGGAGAGAACATGCACGACTTGGCGATCAATGTTGATCGCCCAAATCCGTCCAACGAATTCCCCCTCCCAAGGGTAGACCTCAAATCACAAGTTTTCTAGACACGTGGATGCTAGACGTGAAGTCCTACCCCCCTGTGCTGGGAGCTTCTCATGAAGGAGAGCCCAGGATCAAATGAATTTGATGTGCCAGGGTTTGATGCACTCGCCATACGAAGAGTTCCTTGTGTCAGGCTTGTAGAATCGCTTGAATCTATCCAATTAGAATGCTTTGTCTCAACCCAAAGTCTATTTTCTCCTTGAACCCGGCCCATTCAAAGTGACTACACTGGCAAGCCCAAGCTGCCGACCATTACTCCTACTCGTTCTCAGGGCATTCACCAGTCGAGATTTGTTCTGTCTTCTCCTCTCCTCTCGACCTGACCTCTCGACCTGACCGGTCACCTGACTTCACTCCTAGGCATGGGCGTGGGGCACAGCATCGGGTACAGTCGCTTCGATGCGAACCCAAAGGACGACGACATACGACGGAACGGCACAACCGAAGGTCGAAGGGAACGGAAAGGAAGGCGAAGAACGGGTGTTCGTGACACGAGAGGGAGAGGGTTCGTGCCCATCCCGTCCGCTGTGGTGTCTGGTGTGGCAAAGTGGGGGGAGAGGAGGGAACCTTTCGGGCGAGAATGCATTTGCCCAGGAGGCTCCATATCAATGATCATTGCTTTTTCATGTTTTTCTTAGAAGCACGGTTCATCCTGTTTTGAAGTGTTTTGAATGTCTTTGGCAGAAGCCACATGACCAGGCCTGACCAGGTGCACCAGCAATACCTGCCAGCTCCCTCGATATTGTTTAGTTCAGAAAAGCTGGCTTCCATGCAAGTCCTTGTTTCTGTCAATTACATCAGATCTGGAGAAACTCGTTTGGAGATCATAGCAGCAAGCATCATTTCCTTCAAGGAGCAGAATGATCAACAAAAACACTAATAATACAAGGAACCATTCTATGGTTTCGTGCATGTATAGTCTTGTTTGACTTTTAAGTCCAACAAGCTTTTGCCCGAATGACGGCCCCCAGGAGCTCTACCCTTTCGCTGAAGATTTTTTCTACTATGCCGACCTCATCTTCGCCATCATTTTCACCTTGGAGCACCTTCACAGCCATGAGTAGTCGACATTAGTCGACCCGTCTACAGGTGAGTGGTCGGAGTCTGGCAAGGCACAAGCAGCCCGAGTTGATGGTGTTTTCCATCTTTGCTTCAGAAGAACGCAACTAACTTTACATCAAATTGACTAATGCCCGCACTTGAAGCTTTGGAGGGTCTCGGGAAAGCATTGACAAAGTTTGCCGGCTCGTGATTGCCAATGTCGGCCATAGATTTGGACTGGTGGGCCGATTGAGATGACCATGTTTTGGGCAGGGTGACAAAGGGTGGTAACGACTATAAGCTGTGGGCTGTTTGAAGGCCGAGACATGCTGTGGGAGATGCCAATGTCGTCGATGTGGATGCCAAGAGTTTTCGTGCAAATTGGAGTTGAATCCCTCCCGGATTTGGCTTTTAAATTGAGTTAAATCGTTGGTGGAATTCTGAAGGCCCGGTCACTTCAGCAGGCACTAGGCCTGCTGGTGGGTCACGATACGCCTCGCATCAAGGATGATGATTCGTTGGTTCGTGATCCGCTGGGACTTCTGGCGCCACTGCCTGAATTGGCACCTCGGCTGCTCATGTGATCTAGTAGCGTTCCTTGCTCCTAGCTGTACACGGCCAGGAGCCACGTTCGTAGCGCCCTTGCTACTGGTAGCAATGCCCTTTGTTACGCTTTGTTACGGCGTTGGGCACATCTTTGTGCACACCAGGATTGGGGGAGTGTTTCGAGTGAGTGGTCTCATGTCGCTTGTACCGGGCTCGCAAGGCGCTCAAGGGCATCAGTTCAGAGGGGGTTAACAATTGTCAACAACTGGTGTTCTTCAGGAGATGGAGGTAGTCCACGGAGAAGTATAGGTGGTTTACTTGCTTTCTACTCAAATCTTCACCCGTCAGTCTTTTCTGTCAACATCCCATGACCCCTAAGGTAGAACATCCCAGCGTATGTTGTCTCTCTTGGTGACGTGAACACCCGACAGCCGCAAGCGGTTTGACCCTGAAAACACCGCTGAGGATCGATTTCCTGGTGGTCGTCAGCAGCTGGGTCGAGCTGTTTGCCGCACCTCGTTCTGATGAACATCGAAGTTCCATAGAGTGCTGAGATACAACCAGGGCAGAATGATACAGGAGTCGGTTTCGCTCAGGGTGGGTCCATCTTTGCCTAGGCCAATTGAAACGACACTCACTCAAAAAAGTCTAAAAAATAACATGGACCAGGGCAAGACTGTTTTGCTCTACAACCAACCAGTTCAAGGATTCACGTAAGTCTTCGGGGGGCATGAGCTACTGCAATATCCTTTGAAGCCTTCCTACGAATGCCACTTCAAGGATGGCTCTTTTGACTTGGGGAAAGAGCTTCGTTTGCCCTGTCCAGAGGCAATCCATGCTGTGACCTTCTGACGAGCTTGTCAGTGAACAGAGGTTCATTGGCACAGCTATTCACATCACAAGGATCTTGATGTGTCCAGTCTCAATACCCATTTCAAAGATGGGCCGGTGGGGGGTACTCAAGAGACTTGTGGAATGAACTCCTGTACCATGTCGGATCCATGGCAACACCCCTTTCATTTGGACCAGGATATTCCAGGAGGGTTGGGTCTGAAGGAGCTTGATACAAGCGCCGAGAGGAGAGCGGCTAAGTGGAAATCAGGCCTCTTGCTAGTTGAAACTTCGAACCAGCAATGCCAGCTATAGCTTGAGCATCCCTGCAAGGTCCTGCAACTGATTCAGACTTGCCGACAGCATCCCAAAAATGCTCAAAGCTTTTTACCAAACTCGTTCAAGCCCATTCTAGATTCAATTCTACCACCCAAAACACCCAACAAAGGCCCCTCCTACGCACATCAAAAAAGACAGCCATAGGTGGTTCCTTGCCTCACACCGTGTTTTCCGGTTCCTCCCCTCCTGTCCTGAGTCCTGCATGCTTAGGCAGCCTTGCCCATCTCCCCCACCTTCTTGCGGATGATGCGTCTGGGGAAGCTCTTGCGCGCCCTGCGCGTCGTCCGTCTCTCCCAAGCCCCTCGGACCAGTCGACCGTGGAGCCGACCACGTTGAGACCGGAGCCAAGTGACATGCCCCAGAACAAGCGGTTTCTGGATGTTTCTGAGGCCCCCAAGTGTTTTGGGCCCTGGAAGTGCCTCCTAAAACACTGTGAAATCTGAACAAGGGTTTGGTGAAAGAAGGGTATCTCATGGGTATCTCATGTTCACAAAGGTTGGTCCCATGTTTGGATAAGGTTCCACATGTTGGGATAACGTTCTTGCTTTCTGCGGGACAACCCTTGCCGTCGCGAGAGGGCAGATTGTTTTTCTTCATATCCTCTCACGGCAACACGGATAAAATCATGCACCGTGGCGATGCTTAGGCCCCCCAGAACTATATACTTATAACTTATAACAATTTAGATTTGTCAATAGAGACCAGGGGCCTGAAACGAAAACTGCAGCCCTTTGCGAGCATTCCGACCGCCGCCACAGGTCTTGGAATCGTTGCAATTGCTTCTGAAGCTCGGTGGGCAATGGCGTGGAGCGAGTGAGATGAGATTTGACAAATCTACAGGGTGACAAGAGGACCTGAGGCTTCTTCACTACAGTAGAGAATCACGCTCCAAGTTTGGGATTGACGCCAATCCAATTGAGTGCCCGTGACCTAGCCCCAGAGAAAGCATGCTTGTAGACCGTGTGCACAGTAGCATGCTGCTTCCATCCAGTCAGCCCCTATGCATTGCCACCACCCCACCATTCCAGGAGCACAGAGACCAGCCACGCCCCATTCACCAGCCGCCTCGCCTACATGTGCACACGCACAGCTTTTTCATGGCTTCGGATCTTCAGGAAATGCATCGTGGCAAGTCTGCGGATTCTCTTCTGGTCCTTGGTTTTGCTGATGATCATTCAATGCAGTGCAGGAATGACCATCTCCTACATGTCCCTTGGATCGGAGCATCGGAGCAAAGGAGATTTCAGTGCTTTGGAAGTGTCGCATGGAGAGTGCAGTTTCAGGTTGTGATATGCTGACTTCATAGACATCGCCTCCTCTAAGGGATGCTATATAGAAAGGCAACGGTCTTCCTTGTTAGACAACGGACTTCGCCAAAAAACCGCAGAGCCCGGTGACGCCCCAGGCTCAGCGATTACATGTCAGACCCTGCACGCCGCGAGATGGCATGGAGGGTGTGTTGGAACTGTGGGAACCGTGGGGGACGTACAACAAAGGTGATGAAAATTGTTGTTCAGATTATATATATATAGAATGGTTTTGTTAGTTAATCCATATTCATTCTCCTCTTCAGCCTCCTGTTTGGAGTTTCAGAATCGATACCATGCAGAACTCTTGCCCTTCGACATGCCTCATATCGCTTTTCTATATCAACAGAGCTGACCAGGCAGTCCGGCAACTATCAACATATGTCATATGCCCCAGACACTCCATGTATGCCATATGCCTACATTGACCCCCCAAACCACCCCAATTGATCGGCATATATGGCAGTCCCATGGGTCGCGTCTGGGTGCTATCATAGCTATTCATTCTACTTGCCCATCTCACCAGACGGCATAGCAGATGGCAGACATCCGAAGGATTTCATCCCTGTTGTGTACGATTTTCTACTTTGGGCTTTCTCATCGGTTTGTGCATCATTTCCCGCGCAAACCGGTGGGATTCACCTTCCGAGCTGCCACATTCAAGGCGGAACAGTTAATCCAAACATGAACCACATTCTCATGTTCTTCATGCCATGTGCGCCATTTCTCCATGTTCGGAATCCGTGATCTTGGCGCCGCGAAGGCATACCGCACACCTATAGCATTACTGTATGTGGTTTGGTAGGATGGACTGAAAAAAGGGTAGCTCGCCAGAGACGAGTCTCCGATCGGGCACCATTCACTTCAGGTGCTGATGAGAGTGCACGGTATGAGGTCTTCCGCTACTATGGCACCTTCTCGAAGTGCCTTGGACACGGATGCTGCCGTGACGCGGGCGTTGGATTGGGAGAGAGAGGAGGTAGCTAGTCCTGCCGGTCCTATGTGTCCAAAGAGGGCGGTGCTTCTTGACAAACATGATGGTTCTGCTTCACCAGCTGGCACGCACAAAACCGCAATAAAGGTGTCAATTTCATTGGCATGTTCAGCTGGGAACGTTGATTCCTCCCTTCATTTGGGCTTAGATTGGCTTAACAACTGTGGGCGGCTTGATGATTTCAGGAGATAGATAGATAGATTGATAGATAGATTGATTGGTTGATTGATAGGGATAGATAGAGATAGATAGAGAGATAGATAGATAGAAAGATAGATACTCAGATTACGCAGATTAGATTAGGTTAGATTTAGGTTGATAGATAGATAGATAGATAGAGATAGATTAGATTAGATCAGATTTTAATTATACTAAGATTAGGTTGATAGATAGATAGATAGATAAGCCGATAGATATATATATATATAGAGATCTCTATATTACAATAATATATAATTAATGTATAAGTAATGTGTAGAATCCAGATTATAGGATTTGTACATGATCTCTTCACCAACATAACACTATCCCAGGTTTGGCTCCCCAGTCGGGAGCTGGACCCCACGACCCGTGACCCAGGACGATCCTTACCATGTTCGAGGCAGGGTGGAAGCACAGGTCCCTAGAGGTCCCAGCTGTGTGTGTGTGTGTGTGCGTGTGTGTGTGTGTGTGTGTCCAGCCGGATTGCACTTAAACAAAGCATCGGATTGCACCATTTCTTCGACGATTGCGAGAACCTTTGAAGGTTTGTTTGGACAAGTCGTGCATGTCCGCTTTGGATATGTGCTGTATAATTGACTGGCATTGACTGGCACTCCCTAGGTGAAAGCTAGATGCCAATGGTGAGTCATTAAATGAGCAAGATCTTAGAATTTTGAGCATGTGATTACCTCTAAAGCGAGGTGTTGAGCCGCTTGGAGCGGTGTGGATGGGAACCAGTGCATATTTGGATATCACAACTGAGGAAGTCCATACATCCCAGTCCCTGGCCCTTTGCCCAAATCCCCTCTTTCGTCCTGGATCTCTCCTTCCTTGGCCCCGGAATCCTTCACTCAGGACAACTCGGCTGTTCGCTCGCAGTTCGCTCGCGGTTCGCTCGCGGTTGGCAGGTCTTATTTGCCAACTGGGCTCCTGCATGTCGTGTGCTCATTGACAACGCTCGGGGCACCCAGACCGCGGAGTCTGCGGATGAATGCGACACATCCAGAAATGGAGGGACGGGTGACGGGTGCCCAGCGGTAGATGTTTCAGAGATTGGAGATGTCATGCGCGTTTCTTTGGGGGGTCCGGTGCTTGTATGTTGACTATTGCACACGCCATTGCCAATACTATGAGAAGGTGAACTTCAAATCTTCTTGGGTAGATTGGCGTAGGCATAGGGCCTGTAAAGGGAAATGTCTTTTGAAGCTACTGTCGCAGGTTGTTTTTCTCAGCTCACCATTCCCGAGATGTCTTAGCGCTTCATCCGACTCTGGGTCCCCAAAGTATGACCAAGTGCTGGGTGAAGTATTTTTCGAGGATCTCTATGGAAAGAATCAGGCAAAGCAGGCTCACATAGGCTCACCTTAGATAGACGAGCACTGCGACTGCAGTGGCCGTGCGTTCTGCGACGCACATTTCCTGCGATCGCTCCGCTGGACGGAGACCGTCAGACCGATGAAGCCGATGAAGCCGATGGAACTGGAAGGGACTGGAATATTTACAAGCGACCCTGAAAACTAATATGACAATGTGACATATATGATAAAAACAGCTTATGCAAAACCCATCTGAAACCACCGTAAGGTAGGCAAATATTCTATAGGGTTGTTTGGGAGTTTGCTTGCATCATGGTATTCCTTTTCCATGCGCGATCGAGCATCTTCCTTTTCCTGGTTTGCGTTGCAGAATGTTGGCGTTGTAAAGACCGGTCGGGCTAAGTATAGTGCAGGCTTCGGTGGAGCAGGTCTTCCCGAAACCGGGCACGCAGAAGGGGAAACGACTGGTCTGGTGGAACAAGAGTCCCCACAAGCAAACAAGTAGGTTGGAGGCCATCGTTAGTAGGTTGGAGGCTAACATGTTCCTATTTTTCCATTCTGAGTCTGAACATGTCTGAACTGTTGTCCCAACAAATTCACCAGCCAGCCCCGCCGGGCTTTATACCTCTGGCACCACAGGTCAGCGAGGCATACTCCCTGGCCTTCATCATCTACCGACGCTCGGGCGTGCCACACCGCAACACCGCGACCGCTCGACGGCGCCGTTCTTCCCGACACCGGGAGTCTTCCGGTCTGAAATGGCGGTCGATTCGATGTCCGATGTCGATCGACATCGGTCGATTGGGCGGTTGACGTTGTCGACGTTGGCTAGTCACGGACTGTCACGGGTAGTTTGAGAGAGGAGCTGAGGCCAAAGAGTTCTTGCTGAGCGGTACAGGCAAGACAAATGTCCCGATCTTTGTGTGAACCTCATGGGATATTTTGTTGGCCAAGGGAAACAACTAAAAGATCCGAAACCAGCCGACAGTTGTGCTAGCTGGGCGTGTTGCCATGTGTTGCCCTGGCAGTACCATACCGTACCTAACCGCCAAGTGTGTGTGTGTGTGTGAATCACCTCAGCTGGTAGCTCCCATGAAGTGTGCAGCTGCTATATATGGGCTGCTGCATGCTCAAAGTCTTTTTCTTCTTCACAAAGCTCAGGATGCTTTGTGGGCTTTGCCGTGCTGAACGTGGTCAATGTTGGGCACCCCAATATCAGCGCAGAATCTGCGCGGAGTGTTCACGGCACAAGTGGACCAATGGCATTGCTTGCGAGATGTTTCGGGCATTGTCGGGCAAACAATGCCACACTCATTTCTACTTACGCTCATCAATCCAACCGAACGTCGGTACAAGCCGGCATTGGTGGGCCTCAAGCACAAAAGCATGCCTGCACAAACCGCAGTCCATGGAAGTCTCCAGCCCTCCAGAGCTTTCAGGAGAGATAGGAATGAAGAAATTCTGCACTGCACTTGTTGGGGATCCAGATTAGGAGCCTCACAGTTACTGTACAATGTTTCATATAGTAATCCATAAAATATTCACGTTGTAATTTTATGTTATTTCTTTTATTTGTGATGGTCATCCTAACCATCACCGTGTTTTCCTGCAAATGTTCTCTCAACCTCACTTCTATCATATTGTGCCAGAGATCAGCCTCCCCGGACGTCTCAAAGCTCGTGACATCTCAAGGGACCCACCAGGTACCACTGATGCACCCGAGGCCGTTTTTGTGCAGAGCACGATGAAGGTCGCCTTGGCAGATGACGAGATCGTCGCCAACGAGAAGGCCCAAGCTCAAGCGGACGCGCCGCTGGAGTGGAGGGGTGATTTGGGTGCCGATCGGTGGGGCACCAGTGAAATGAAACAGGGTTGCACGCAGATCACGTGTACCCTTTACATGCTTATGTCATTGTGTGCAACCCTGTGAAACGGCTGACAGGAACTTGGACTCGATCCTGCAGCTGTTGGTTGCACGTTTTGGAGATCTTTATTTGTTTGGTGCCTTGATTGGAAGGAAGATGGTTGAAAGTTGGCAGCCATGACTGCTCTGCAGACATATTCAAGTCTTTCGGCTGGGCACAGCATGGAGCACCATGCAGCAATACCGCGAGAGGCACAAATCAATAATTCTCCAAAAAGAGGACTCAGAGAAAGTTGTTTCAATCGTAGCAGGCAAGAAACACAATCATATAATATCATGGATCATTTCACTTTTTTCCACCATCAGTACCCCAGCTAGAGTCCCAAAAAACACCATCCGCACTGACACATCATCCAGCATCAACATCTCCTTGCTTTCCTCATCTGTCCTCCACCTCCCTTACTTTCTTGACACCCCTCGTCCCACCTCCCATGGCACCCGCCATGGCACGCCGGTCTTTGCCTCTCTTGGCTCTGACGCTCCTGGCACTTTTTCTTGGCCCATCGGCCCTGAGCTTCGCCAAGACTGTGGTGGTGACCGGCGCAGGCGGACGAACGGGGATCTTAGCGGCTCGGCCGAGCGTGCTTACAGCCAGCGGGGCGAGTGAGTTCAGGGTAAGTGCGGTGAGTTGTTGCTTTGTTTCTCGGCCGTCGAGTATGGTGTGGAGTCCTTGGTTGCTTCTGAAGCGACCAGAATCGCGGCCGTCACGGTCCGAAGCAACCAGTCCTCACATCCTGCCATACCTGGTGAGTCGTGAGTGGAACCTGGAGACTGACTCCGCCGGGGTGGGTGGCTTTTGAAACGGATGGGTTCAGGGACCAAGGTCGCTACTACGACCATCTGCGACCGGATTTTTCCCTAGCTGTGTTGGTCAGTTCTCATGATGTTGTCATGTGTAGTTGTAGTTCATGTAGTTGTGTATTATTTTAGTTGGGACTCAGTTTAGAAGAGAGTATGCCCACTCCTTCAAGAGCTTGCACGACATACCGTTCTTGAATGCCCTGAGGTCGTGGGAGAGCTTTTGGACAAAGGATATGAGGTGCGAGCGCTAGCGCCTTGGAGGAGACCTGTCTTGGGCCGGGCCTTAGGCTTTTCAACGGTCATCAGGGGGTGGTGACTGGGCCATGAATGGGAGAACAAAACATCCGGGTTGACCTTGGACTGATCAGTTGATGGTGGGATGACTTGAGGTCTTGTGCCGTTGCTACCAGCGGAAGTAGGGACGTTGCAACATTAGTCGTTCGGTGCATGTGTTGGTTTGAGCGGATGAATCGGCCGAGGATGGTTTGTTTGCACGCGTAAGAACACCAAGGTGCACAGTAAGAAGTCCAAAGAGGCACTTTTGAGCAACCTGGATTGCATCAAACAAGGATCCAGCGTTAGCCGCAGAGAAACCAAGTCGTGCCATTACGTTGCTGCCTAAGTTTGCTAGGAAAGAGCGTTTCAAGATGCTGGTGAATTGAACCTCCGACGATAGGAGACTTTTGCTAAGGCTGCTAAGGATTGAGGCTGCTAAGGATTGAGACCTTATTTTTCTTCAACAGCCAAGATTGGGCTGAATTTGCCACAGCAGCATCCTCCAAAACAGTCAAAACATTCTTGCCAAGAATCCCTTTCGGGTGTTCTATCATGTGTAATTGTGTCTCAAATGCATGTTTATATAATCCACTTCCTTTTCACCACATCCCTTGGAAAGCGCCGTCTAAGCTCCCTGATGCTCTCTTTCAAACATAATCCTAGACTGAGGACTGTCCAATTGCCCCGAATGCAATTGCCGAAGAGTAGGAGCAGGAAGTCTTTTTGGAAGGGGCAGTCAGGCAGATGAACCAGCTGAGGGAATTGATCGACAAGTCTATGGAAGGGAATCACACAAGGGACCTCAAAGCCAGTCAAAGATAGCCACGTCATAGTCTTCACTGATTTTCACTCCACATCCAGACCATCCAGTGCCGTAGTTGCCCAGCGATGATGTCGCACCTTTCTTGCTTTAAACTTTACACTTTACAGAACGTGTCCGGAAGTCCAGCGAACCGGCCCCGCCCGGACCGAGGCAAGTACAAGGCGCTCCCGGCCGATCGCATCTACGTGGCTGACATCCAGGACAAGGCCTCCCTGCAGAAGGCCTTCGCGGGGTGTGCGGCGGCGATTGTCGCCACTTCTGCGGTGCCCAAATTGAAGGTGTGGTCCTTGCTGCCCTTCATGGCCACTGGGATGTGAGGATGGGGGAGGATGGGTGAAAATACTTTGTGTGGGAGTCCACTCCAGAAGTCTTGAATAATTTTAGTTATAGTTCTTTGATTCTTCATGGCAACTGGATTGGATGTGGGCCTTTGGAAGTGGGCCAGGTGTGCAATAAAGGCGATTCGACGTTTGCAACACGCGTATGGTTTTGGATGTGCTTTTTCCGTGGTGGCCACTGGGATTCTTTGCGAAGACTGCCTCATCTTACTTCTTGTCCGACCCTCCCTGAGGATACTGCTCGGCTCTCACCGAGCGAGAGCGCCGTTTCAGGCTGCGAAACTCTGCGAAACTCGTGAAAGTGGCGGTTCTCTCAAGTTGCAGATCCCCCTTCCAAACACCCAGCGGTTTCGATCAAGCTTGATTTGCGGAATCCATGGCTTCAGGTGAAGAAGCTTTTTGGGAAGATGCTTGGATGACAACTGGTTGGTCTTTCTTCATGCCGTAGCAAGCAACTGCGAGACCCTGCGATGTCTCACACCCAACCGAGGCCTCCAGGGGTGACCACGACCAGACGCAGTCTGGACATGTGGAAAGAAGAGTTCGGAACCAAACATGTCCAGACTGCGTTTGGTCGGTCCTCACCCCTGGAGGCCTCGGTTGGGTGTGAGACATCGCAGGTCTCGCAGTGTGTTCCCCCATGTCCAGTTCCCAGACACGACCCATGGGACTGGAATAGGACTGCCGCCCCAGAAAGACCCCCGCAAACCACCACCCCTGGCTTGATCGGCAGTCCTATGGCAGTCCCATGGAGTGTTTGGGGTTTACACTTGGAACTCACCGAACTCTCTGGGACTCGTTTCGCTCCTTACATGGGAGGCCGACTCGGGCTTCTCTTCTGGCCGTCGGATCGGTGGCGTGGGCTTCTCGTTCGTTCGGCCGAGCGGTGCGTGACTAGCTGAGGAAAGGAAAGCTGAGATTCTCCTGGAAAGGCGACGGAAAGCCAGAGAAAGTGGTCTCTTGGAGGGTCGCCATGGAGTGATGGCTGAACCCGGCAACATCTGCACAGAAATCCCAGAAAAAGCGCTCTCTGGGAGCAGTACTTTTCCTAAGGATTGGGAAGGCCAGCGGAATCAGTTCGAGATGGCCTCCGAAGAAGGCAGGGAAACTGTGCGCGGAGACAACGCAGATGTTCTTTTAATGTTATTCGTCGTTTTTTGCTGCCAAGGCTTTTGTTTTTCCATGCTGATCCTGCAGTTCGTTCGTGCTGCTGCCGCTGCTGCAAAATTCCTTTGTGGGTGATTGGTTGTTGGCCGTTGTTCTGAGTGGAGGTTGGAACTTGCATTTGGGGATGTGTTTGTTGCCTGTTTGGCGAAAAGACTCGGGAAAACTTCCCTTCTACCAACTCGGTGAGGGTTCCTACGTATTGCTGGCACATACAGTGTCACTGCATCACGTGAGGAGATTCAAGAAGGACCTCGCTGTCGCTGCAGCTCGAGTTGCGGGTGATTGTAGGGCTTCCTGGGTGGATGAACATTGCCTATATAGATTGGGTCTGTTTGTTCTTACCTGTAACAGTCAGTAAACACTTACTGTATTACTATTTTTGAAGAAGGCGTGCAACTGAACCATCATCATCCACTAGATAGACCCCACCTGGAGATGACTTTCCATGCTGGCAACACCAATGAGCAGAGTACAGTAGGCGTTCTGAATCCTGCAGTCCGCATGGTTTGGGCAGTGGGTGAAAGACGGGCACCCGGCATGGCAAGACATCACTTTGTTGGTGGGCCTGGGGTGGGTCAGGTGTGCAACAAGTGGTGCTGGTCGGCACGATGACTGGAACACAGAAACTTGAAAATGAGATGGTGAAGTTTGCGGCAATCCTGTGAGGTGAAGGGCGGGCGGGACCTTGTTAAAGAATAGGGCAAGATCATTTCAAAGAGCGTGAGTGCTGCTTTGTCTTTCCCGGAGGGATGTCAAATCCGTACCTTTGATGGCGTCACGTTAGGTAGAGCAAAGCTATGGCTTCGCGGCAACAAGTTGTTGAACTTAGCCCCCTGTGGTACTTGACTGTAGCTTCCATAGTGACTACGTTTGATCCAAGCTGACGAGGACGATCAGATCGTGTTTGGGCCGACCGACTCAGCAAAACAAAGTGTTGACCGAGATGGCAGTACCATGTTGCCATGTCGGCTTGCATACGCAGCTCCATGTCGGCAGCCGCTTGCTCGCGCAACCGCGTCGTTGTGGAAACGCCGCTGCCCGCGCTCAGGAAGGACAGCTTTTTGAACAGCATCGGTGAGGGGGAGGGCGATCAGATCGTGATGTGGAAGCGCAAAGCCGAGGTATTTTTGATCGATCTTTGCCGCTTGGGCAACGAACGAGATCGACCGACAGGTGCTCCGGGTCGACCGAAAGGCCTCTAAACCAACGAGGGGGTAGGTGCATTATGAGGCATTTAGGAGTATATTTGACATAGGATGGCCAGATGGGTTTGATGCTTGTGTGATGGGTGTGCTTTCTTTCCCCCCAACAGTTTACCGTTAGGGGTTCTCAATTCTTTCTTAAGACGTGTCCGCCCTTTCTGTCACTGCTGGTGTCCACCCTTTTCCGCTGGCCATGCAGCATTTGTATTCATTTGTCTCCCAGGTGATTTCTTTACTTCCCCAAAAAGGTTACTGTTGGGGGTTCTCAATGCTTTCTAGGATTCTAAGATTTTCTAAGGGTGTCCGCCTTGCTGTGCCTTCCGTCCGGCTTGTCACCCTTTGTCTCCCTTCTTGCTGGTCACTGTGTCCACCTTGTCTCCCTTCTGTTTCCTTTTGTCTCCCTTCTTGTCTACCTTCTTGTCTCTTCTTGTTGGTCATTGTGTTCGCCTTGTCTCCCTTGGTCTCCGGTCTTGTCTCCCTTCTTGTTGGTCACTGTGTCCACCTTGTCTCCCTTCTGTTTCCTTTTGTTTCCCTTCTTGTCTGAGGCGGGCACAGCAGCCCAGAGCTGCAAGCCAGAGGCGGACACAGCAGCCCAGAGGTGGGAGACACATGGAAAGGATTGCAAGGCAGTGGTTGGCAATCCTTAAATTTATTTACATTTGTCTCCCAGCTCTGACTGCTGTGTCCGCCTCTGCCCTGCAATCCTTTTATTTATTTGTCTCCCAGCTCTGGGCTGCATGTCGCTTGCAATCCTTTACACTTGTCTCCCAGCTTTGGACTGCTGTGTCCGCCTTTGCCTTGCAATCCTTTGTCTCCCAGCTCTGGACGTCGCAAGCTCTAGTTGCAGAGTGTTCCGATTTTGAAAAGCACTTGCCATTTGGGTCTACGGTCGTGTATTTTGTTCGACTTCTTTGCGGTGACCATTACTCAGGCAAGAAGAACAGAATGAAGTATACGATCATCCATGCGGGTGGCCTGAGCGATGAGCCAGGAGGCCAAGCACCTGCACCTTGGTGGAGTGGGTCCCGGTGGGTCGAGGAAGACGAAACGAAAGCGAAAGCGAAAGCGTGATGAAGACCACAAGCTGCGACCAACTTGAGGAGCTGGAATAATAGGTGGTCAATTTGCCCTTTGCCAAAACCACTGAGAGGATCACTTCCCTGTCCTCTCCACTTCTGTTGGATCCTGAGGTGAAGTTGGGTGTGGATGACAAGCTGCGAGAGGTGAAGAACCTCCGGATCCCCCGTGCAGACATCGCCCGCGCCTGCGTGCAAGCGCTGGCCCCCAAGCTGTGAGCCGATGGGTTTGGGCGTGAGTCGTGCAGCATGCTTCAGGTGGGTTGCCCACCCAGGATGAGAGGATTGAGTGCCGTGATGCCAATGTTTCACAGATCAGACAGGGAAGACTCCTTGAGGTTCGCATCGCTGAGGTTCGCATCGATCCTATATAGCGATCCACGGTTTGGGCTGGCAGGTCCATCATGGTCATCCAGCATAGGCCATTGCAGGACCAACCCCGTCGGGTTTATTGTTGGAGGCGAGAGCTGGTACCCCTAGCAAGCAACCATCATTGAGGGCTGAATTCATATCTGGCAACTCTCCCGGTTAAAATCGGTTAAAGGTGTCTTTGAAAGCATTCTGAAACCACCTCATGCTTGGAACCACTGCCGTTTTTGTCCCTGAGGCCCCTCAGAAGATTAAAATAAGATGTAACAGATCCCTTCCTTGGCATTGTTGTAGCCGCGTAGCCATCCTCGCTTTTCGTACATCGAAGTTGTTCCACAGGGTCGCTGTGGCGTTTGGGCGCTGAGGAGTGCGATTTGGCCAAGGACCGCAGCTTCGACATGACTTCTGTGGAGGGAGGCACGCCAGCGTTGACGGAGTCGAAGGGCTGACCAATCAGTGAAGACAGTTGAGGCAGCTGCCAGGCAGCTGTAGCTTCTCACGTCCCATGTTTTCTTGGGGGATCGATTTGCTTCCAGCCCACGGGAAGAAGAGTTAGAAATGCGCCAAAATGGTAGACGCCATGACGATTTGGATAGTAAGGACAGATAACTCAAATTGAGATTCTGTGAAAGCAACTGATGTCAGTTGGCCTTTCACCCTCACTCCCTTGGGAATTCCGCAGCAAGAAGGAAGCAGTGCCTAACAGGCTTGTGCCGGCAGGTGAACTGTTTTTACGATTTCCGCTTTGGCCCCTCGGCAGGTCAGGCGCTCGGCGAGGATGGCCTCAAGATGCCCGGCGAGGATGGCGAGGGATGCAGTGAGTTGGTTGGCCAACCTGGCAGAGAAACCACTCCGACGAACACCTTCATTCCCGTTGCTGGTGGAAGATAACATGCTTTCCCCGGGGCTGATGGCGCGGATGGTCCTTTTTCAATTCCAGAAGACTTCAGTGGAACACCCTAGGATTTTCAGTTGGTGTGCAGGTGTTTGGGCAATAGAAACAAGGAGAGCCATTTGGTAGAGCTGATGGAGACCCCCCTCAGCTGTTGTGGCATTTGTGGAACCCCGTGAAGCCTCGTCACGAGGCTTCAATACATCGTGCAGCATAGGGGGTTCCCTCCTGCCACTCAATTCCCAATAGGTTCATATGATTGAATCATATCATATTTGTCAGATGCAATGCATCCACAGCCTTCCACCATAGCCAAACTATTAGTTAGATGATGTTTCCTTTGTCAGACTCCGTCTCAGGAAGCTCCTGCAGGAGATGGGCGATGTAACGTGCGACTATAGCATCAACCCACCACCGTGAATGGCACGACAGACTCGATGTATTTTTCGTGCGAACCAGCGGGCTGGTTCGATCGTTGCGGGCTGGTGCTGATGGTTCCAGGGTCAGGACCTTGTGGAGTTTTTTTTTGTTCAGGGTCGGGTGAGCTGGTCAAGCAGTTAGACAGAAGATGACAGAAGACTAAGACCTTCGTTGCGTCAGGAAGCATTCATCAGGTTCATTGGATTTGACAGCAACCATGGGAGAAGCTATGAGATCCTCCTACCCTTCCCTTAGCACCAGCCTGTGAGCCATAGTGAGAGCAGCTCTTTGGACCCTCAGCGTGGCGGTTTGGAAGAAAAGCCGTGCGAGTGGAGGGAGCGGAGGTGGATTTCCAAGGTTTAAGCTTACGTGAAACCCCAAGGCTGAAGCATTTCAGAGCTGAAACTGAACATGATCGAGTTTTCGTGACATCAACATGATGCTGAAGGCAGTTAGGGTTGCACAAATCCGTTTTGACCAACCTTCCCGGTTGGCAAGTTTCACTCGTGTGTTTTTTTGCTGTGTTTATTGCATTTTATTGCTAGGATACCTTGATGTCCAGCACAAACAAGAGCATTCTGGAAGGGAGCTCCCCCATTAGAGCGATTTCTCAGGGAACAGGTCCGGCCGAGGCTTCAGATTATATGATGACCAGCTCAGCATCCAGATCAAAGGAAACTGATGGCATAGTACTGTGCAGCCAGTACTGTCTATGACCGGTGCATAGTACAGAAAAGACAGGAGTTTTGGCAAGTTCTTTGAGGGTCAGAGGCCTTTTGAAAATGGAACGGGGAACACGCACTGATCGGTTCTGAACGAAACTGCAGTTTCAAGAGATCAGGCCATAGCCTTGTTGAGCATTCCTGCGGAGCTTTTATGTTCACCTTTAGGCTTATGTTTTTGCGCGACTCCGCAGCTGACTCCCTCATTGTTCCTGACAGGCTAGGGCTCAGGCGGCCTATACACGCAGAGATCCTTGGCTTGAGGGTCTCTTCAATGATTTTAGATGTTTTTTTGGTCTGGACCAGCGCTCCGCATCCTCACCATTTGTTTTGTCGGAGTCCCTTGCTTGGAGAACCTGACTTGTCAAGAAAGGACTGGTTTGGGTAGGGGCCAGGGCTAGCGCCCCATATCCATAGAAATGACGGTTACTTTTGTTGGAGCGTGCTTGCGTTGGCAAACGTAGAGCGACAATAGTGGAGTGTCCTCCCCTGCGCAACAGGGACCCCTCTAGGTGCTCGATCGTTTGGCACTTCTCCTCCCTGCACGTCTTGTTGCTAGGTCAACGCCCTCTTCAGTCAAGCAGACACTTCAGGAGCGCCGAGCGTCGCTCTTGGGGCAGACGAGTCATCAGTCGGGGACGGGTTGAGTCGCTAGCTGTCAAGTCCTTTGGTGAACGTAATGAATAAAGTAATATCATGTATAGTGACCTTGAAATGAACAGGAAGTCCTTGAACCTCTCCAGGGCTCCAAGGTTTCCAGGTCATATGCCCACACCAAGCTTGCAATCGTCGGTCGGTTTGGAAGAGCACTTTCCTTCTCTCCGTTGGTTGCACGATTAGTTTGGAAGGTTGCTCTAACCCTGCAGGTCTTGGAAACTCCCAATCCTTGAGACACCTTAGAGGCTGACAATTCCAGACCTCCACCGCGTCTACAAAAAGATCCGTCCACACTCGGCGAAGCTGCGAACCGGCGCAACGTGGAAAAACGCGAAGCTGCGAAAACGCGCCCGCACATGCCCGCACGCTACAGTATCATGCAGGCGATGGGGTCTTGGACTTGGAAGAGTTCCTCCGATTGCTCGACAATCCCCAGCTGCAGGCTCCGGACTTGGAGAAACCGGAAGAGATTGAAAGACTTAATAAGAGATGCAAGTATATAGCACCTTAAATACATTGAACAACAATGAACAACATATACATGGCATATATATATATGTCATATATCTATATATATATGGTGTACATAGTGGTGTAAATGTAGTTTTGAATGTTATTCAATGAATGTGACATTTTCCGGATTCATACTTGCTGTTTGGCCGTTGGGATTCTCGAGCATGGCGCTGACCGCCATGTTTTGTAGACTCCAGTGCACACATACTATACACAAACCTGCAGGGGTCTTAGTCTGGGAATGATTTGATTTCATTTGGGTATAGCTCCACCGTAGTATGCCCCAACCAAGTAGATGTGCAGAAGATGTACTACCAGCTGGTCTTCGGCACCATGTGTAAGCGTGCGTTTTCCAGGTGTGGCTGCACATGATTGAGTTGGACACCACGGAAGCTGGGCTGGCAGGGTCTCAGTCCGCCGGTGGTCTTGAAACGACCCACCTCCCAGTGTGCGCAGTGCCATGTAGCCACTCATGGTTTTTTGTGCGTGGATTTCATTCTGGGAACGATTCCTTGCCCAAAAGGATGTCCTTTTCTTTGTAGGCTTGGAAGGTGGTTTCCGACCAGCAAGACTGACGAACGACGTCGAACTCCTGGACTCAAACACGACTGATGTGATGATCGAACACGGCCGAGTCCAAGCCTTGCCGGTCCGGTGACCGAGGACTTGCTGGGTCTCTTCAAGATGTTGGATGATGGGGATGGAGAGATCTCATTGGACACTTCGGCGGAACCAGTGTGACTATTGTCCAACAGCACGCAAGAAAAGCAATTCGCACGTGGTAACAGCACCCAGAATGCTACTTTATCCTTTGGTTTCTTGGGAGTCAGCCAAGCGCACTGGATGGTTCAAGAATTATGACTTATGACTTTAATTTTACTCCATGCCCAACACCCAGCAGATTGCACGTTGCACAGTTGCGCAACTCCGCGCAACGCCTCCTTTCTGCGCTAACGCACACTGAATTCAGCGGACGACTTAGAGGAAATTATTTTGCAAAACCATCACTCAGTAAACAGACCAACGACCTTGTGTTCTCAAAGGGGCACGGCAAAGTTGCTTTGGAATTCACAACGTCCCAGACAGAGGAAGCTTTCCACATGCGCCATGCAGCTGTGCCATCGGCGTTGGTCAAGTTTAAGTTTGAAGTTTCATGTGTGTTTGTTGATCATGGGTTGGTGATCACATCAAGCTGTCCTCTCATTGCTGCGACTAAGGAAGAATTTCAGGAAGGAGTGTCTTGCCTGGGCTGGTCGCCGGCGGATAAGTGCTGGGGTGTATTGGCAATAGCCTACCGGCAGTGCTGGGGTTTGAAAAGCAACCATTCAATTGAACATCATGACATACTTGACTTGAGTGAAGCAGAGATTCGTACGACTGCCAGTGAAAAACCAAAGATACGCGGCACATCCCAACTTTGTGTTGCATTTTTCGGTGCAATTCGGTGCACAGATTTGTAGCATGCATTAACCAATGCCAAGCTGTGACTGCTTTCGACATGGTGTGAAAGGAACACATGCTTTTACATTGTTTTACAACCTGCCAACTACACATCGACATCTAAAATACGTGAACCTACCGTCTAAAAAACAATACTTTTCTTGGCTGTGTAGGTTTGAGCGAGCGTGTGTGCACCGTCCTTTTTTGCCGAGATGAAGAAGATGAAGGGAATGGCCAAAAGCTTGGACCTGAACAAGTTGCAACACGAGGCGCGCCACCACGTCGTGCTTCGTGTAGGGGCACTGTGCGGAGAGCAAGCATGTCAGACCAAGCCGATGCACCTGACCTTCATGACCCAGCTGAGGCGTTTCTAGCCTTATGGCCAATACATTGAATGAATACCTATATGGAACATATCGCCGTTGTATCGCTGAAGGGGTCGGATAGGGGTCGGAGGTTGATCCCCGTCCAAGCCAAGTTTCGGTCCGAAGGAATGCACACGTTGCGAAGGCTTGGACCATTCGATGAAGTAACTGGAGCGTTGGACAACGTTTGAGCAGATAGCAATCAGGGAAGCTCCTGCCCATAACTACAATGCGTCCCTACTACCTATACTTCCAAAAAGAAACCGTCCAAACATGGACTCCTCAGTTACCATTTTGGCCATTTGGTGGTTCTTTGATGATTTTGATGTAACCATAGTCACCATTGTCACCTTCAGCCATTTTTCACTGCATGTTTCCCCTGTTCGCCGTCCACGAGGTCGCCAAATTACACGTCAAGGCGGGCCCGGTGAGCCGGGGAGAGTCCCGACCGCGACCGGACCGGTCAGCCGTAGACTGCTCAGTTGGACCGCTTGGCGAACACCAAGAAAGGAGTTCCACATGGAGCCAGTTGCGGTAGGCCCGGTAATTGGGCGAAAAGTGTGTGTTATTTGCTTTTCTGGCAGGTGGACAATGAACCGTTCATAATCCACTTAGCACAAGTAGTCCACTTTTCCACATTTCTGTGAGAGAGGCCATTCCGAGCATTTATATAAATATATACAGAAGGGGTGGCCATAGGGCCTGGGTTTTGGTTTTGCATACATTTTCATAAATATTAGGTAAATGCATCAGTGCCACAATCAAAACCAAAAAACACTGATAAATATGCATAAATGATAAAAAACACACAAGAAAAAACCAAAAAGAACTAAAAACCATGGGAAAACAAAAAACTAAAAAAACAATTCTGGGAGACTCTTGGCTGGACCCCCCAAAATCAGAAAAAAACAAAAAACTAAAAAAAAACTTGGGGAAAAAAAAAAAAAAACAATTCTCAGAGACTCTTGGCTGGACCCCCTTTTCCTCAAGACTTCCCCAGAATTGTTTTTTTTGTTTTCCCAAGGTTTTTTTGGTTTTCTGATTCTTCTGATTTTGGGGGGTCCAAGCAAGAGTCTCTCAGAATTGTTTTTGTGTTTTTTTGTGTTTTCTCAAGGTTTTTTGGTTTAGCATCTGAGCTTACTTCTCACCTCAAGGCATCTGTTCTTTTTGCTTATATACGTCTGAAACCGTCTGAGCTCAACACTTCCTTCGTCCTTGTCCAAATCTCCATATACAAGTCTGAGTGCATTAACTGCTGACTGGTATCAATGCGGTTGCCACTTGCATTTCCAGACAGCTTGACATGCAGTTGCGAGGACACTCTGTCCTTTACATGAAACGGTTGGAAATCTTTGCGAGCGTAATTCTGTGCTTATAGCTCAAGCGTTTACATCTTATTCTGGCGAACTTCTAATTTTAATTCTAATTCCTTTCTAATTCAACTCTCATCTAATTTCAATTAGGCTATAGTTATAGTTCAATACAAGTTTATTACAATTCGGTTTTACTTCAGCTTTATATTAGCTCTAACTCAAATCCAATTTAATTCTACCTAATTCTATTCTAGCTCTAGTCTATTTAGTTTAAGAAAACACATGCTACAAAACCCCGTGTTTTACAGTATTTTTTGCCCTGGAAGTGCTGGGAACAAGACTAAAACTCTTTTTTGGAGTAAATAGTTAGATTTATTTATTGTCAGTAATCACTGGAGATAATATATACATATTAAACATGTTTTATGTACAAGCTTCTAATTCAAGAGCTTCCCTCTAGATCTCTGGGGATGATCATTTCTACAATAAAACTATATGTAAGCTTTCCTTTCAAAAGCTTTCCTCTGGATCTCTGGAAATGGCAATTTAAACATGCTATATATATCAATAAATAAGTCTTTCTTTCAAGAGCTTTCCTTTCATGAAAACACATATAGGGATATCTACTTTCCCAGAGATCCTGAGGAAAGCTTTGAAAATGCAAGCTCTTGCCCGCAGAAATCTAGAAGAAAGCTTTCAACATACAAGGTTTCTATATGGTTGTTTAAATCTAAACATGATTATCTGCAGAGATCTATAAAGAATCTTTTATAACATAAAAGCGTCTATACACAATCTTTCCAAGTCTAAACATAATTATAAGCAGAGATCTAGAGGACAATTGTTAAAACGACCACTTTTATGGCCTGCTTCTTTTCTAATTATCTTGTTCAAAACCATCTGAATGATTGATTGCTGCTTCCAAAACAATAAAATTATCCTGGCTCAGGAATACATAATATATTTGTTCATATAGAGTGAGAGCAAGAATAGATATGTGTGTTTATATGGAGAGGGGCTGCCACTAAAGCATGTACCTAAAATTTTAGGGAAAACCAAAACCCAGGCCCCATGACCACCCGCTCTCAATATATATATATATAGTATATATAAATAGAGTGTTTTCCCTTGTCACACTTAGGTGAAAACGGACAGGAAAGCAACCTGAACATTTAATATAGTGGTGAAACAGAAGAGTTGCTCAGGATTGATACTTTCTAGAACTGGATTGGCCCCTCCAGAGGCAGTTTACTCTACAGGTTCTGTTTACTTCAATCTTTGCCAGAGAGAGAGAGGGAGGGAAGGAGGGAGAGGCAGAGAAAGAGAGAGCGCGCATGCCTCTTCCCACCACCCAAACATCAGCTTCCGGAAATGCCAATAAGTGTCACATAGTTCACCCAAGTCATTTAGTCACCCTGTGTACTGTGTGGATGACCTCAATCCAAGCTGTGAGGTATTGGTTCCTTGGGTCTTTGGTCACCAAGCGTAGAAGAGTTCATATATGGATTTGCGGCTTGTATTTGATCATGGTCCTTTGGGATGTTGAAATCGCGAGTGAAGGTTTTGATGAAAATCGTCCCTGGAAGCCAGGTGGACTGTCTCTTTGGGAGTTCTGCAGGGCCTGCCATCTTCAAAGCGACCAAGCACTTGAGCTCCAGTCGCCTGGAACAAAAGATGCATGGATGACAAATGCAGAAAAGACACACATGAAAACATGTTAAAACATGTATTGGATGACAGATGCGGAGATTTGGGGGAAGAAAAACCAACGTGGAAAACCCCCAAAATCCGAACCTTTTGGCGTTCCGGGCCGGCACGAACTCGACTCCGGCAGCCCACATCACGGAAAGTGGAGCTTTGTGGAAAGGACATGACCAAGAGGACCAGCCAAACCAATGAAGTCCGTTTTTGGATGGTCTTTGATCAGCGAAATGAGTGTGATGGAGGCCGAACAAACGCCCTAAGAATCCAGCTCCGAACGGATGGGAAGTGGAAGTGGGCAGGGTGTCCGGACCCGCAAGTAATCGGTGACCGTCGCCATGGAGGGCCGAAAAGCATCCAAAAGCTCTTAGTGTATGACATATTGCTTGAGACCCTTCAAGATCTTGGAGCCCAGAACTTGCTCGGCGCATGTGAACAATTTGGGGCCAGGAAAAGCCGTACGGCAAACAAAAGCAAAGAATTTGAATTGTTAAACTCCTTGGAACTAACATGGAAGTGGAGAATGGCCGCTTGGAAGACCATTTTCCACGACACACAGTGTGGTTTTCCACTCACCCGACCTCGGGGCTTCGATGTGGTGCACCTCCGTTCCGCACGCGCTCAGGCTTCGGAAGCACGGCCAGCCGTGCCAGGGCCAGGCTTAAGAAGAATCAAGTCTGAGACGAGTAGCCGGAGAGGCCGTGCCAGGGCCAGGAGACGGCCAGGGCCGTGCCAGGGCCCCTCGCCAGGGCGCCTCGCAGATCGCGCCACGAGCTGAAGACGAGTCGCCAGGGTGAGAAAATGCCGGCTCGGCCATGAGAAAGGCCGGTGCAAGTTGCTCAGTAAAGCAAAGCGGCAGGGGGAACTACAGAAGTCTGTTTCAGCCCTTTTGGAAGGAAATGGGGCGGCAAATCGTTTTGGGGGTTGACATGTCAAAGCTGAGTTGGGGAACTTGCGGGACAGTCATTGTTTGTCATCGCATTGATGGCTTCCAAAGGTGTCAGGTTGTCGCTATCTTGCGCTCCATGTTTGTTAGATCACTCTCCATTTCACATTGTAATGGAACACAATTTTGTGAATCAATGTGAATCAAGCTCGCCCTATGAATGCCCGTGTAAAACAGGCATGTGATGACAAGCAACATCTTATATAAAATGGATCACCCTTTACGTATGAAGGCCCAACATGTTAAAAGGTGTTCAGTTGACCAAGTGGTTGCAATAGAACACGAAGAGAGATCCATGAAATATATACGACTTCATGAGGCAAACAAGACATCCCTACGGCCCTACAAGTCCCAAGACCCAGTAAAACAAGGTCGGTTGCTTCCTTGCTTGACTGGTGTTTTCGTTTAGATGACCACTCCAGTACAATGAGGTCATTGACCTCTAGGACATGTTTGACATCATCACTCTTTGGGAATCCACTATTTCATGCGCTGGCTGCTTGATGAATTTCTGCTCGGAGCGACGACGTTTAAGCACGTTGCGATTCTCGGTGGAAGACTGGAAAGAGCCACGTGAGAGTCTTTGAAGGAAAGCCTGTCACAGACCTGCCAAAGACATGTCTTCATCCCACCTCCCCAGCTCAAAAAGCTGAGCTCCAAGGGCAGACATACCGGATTCCAAAGGCCATGTTGGGTGACTCTGGCTCAAAAGACTCCCGTGCCCAGATTCCTCTCAGCTTAGGCTTGCTGGGAGGTGTTTCCCCGAAAGGCTCCCTATGCCTTGGGGCTCCCAAGGCAGCCTTTCTTTGCAGATCGGAGGAGTGAACTCTGAACTCTTCGAAAGCTGGGTGAGAGAGGGACCCGGGCTTGCCTGCAAGCTTAGTGATGCTATGTGATGCAACTGTTTGCAACCTCATCATGACGACTGATCGGAACATAGCCAGCAACATCCTCATGAACAAAATGGACCCCTGCTTTGCAACACCATTTTGCTCAAAAGACCCTGCTATTCCATTTGAAGGGGCGCGAAACTTGCAGTGAGCCGCCCAGCCCAGCTGGGACCGAGAGTCCCCTTCACCGGGTGTCCGTGAACCAAGCGAACCATGTCGGCTGTTTTGAATGGCGGCGCCGTCGCGTGGGAGGTGTAGATGCCGTCCGGACAACCGCATGGAAACGCCATGGGAATGGGTTTCCGGGGGGTCAGGGGGTCGGCAGCGGGTTATGGTCAACAGGTGCAAATGAACTTGTGCGGGGCACAGAGTGACCCAGAACCTGCTCAATGCCTAAGACTCTAAGATCCACTGCAAGACACGGTGGGAAACTGAAGAAGATGGGGCATTTCGGGTGAGGGTGAGGGCGTTTCTGTGCCATTCACAAAGTCCAGATTTAGCCGATCTACCTGGCAGAAGTCTTGATTCATTTAGTTCTGCCTATGTCAACCATGCCCTTCATGGTGTGATGAATCCGCTGCACGTCCCACGCGCGTTGCGAGGGAATGCCGTTGATGCCACGCAATTGATGGGACCAGTGAGTCGGAGAAACCCGAAACCAAGCCGAGCGAAGGGGGGCACAGGTGACGTGGCGATGGGCATGTTTGTGCAATCCCACTTACACAGTTATATATTCATAGTACACACGAGATGGGGATAACTAGGCTAGGTGCTAGGTGCTATACTCTATGGATGAAATCGAGTTGTCTCACGATGGTTGGCTCAAACATCAAATCAAGGGCATTGCGAGTTTACCCATTGGAAACAAAACTATTGGGATTGCGCTGGATGTTTACGCCAAGTGTTTTAAGCTTTGCAAGCCCAAAATTGTTCAAAGCCAAAGGCTGACCTCAAAGACTGAGACGGGAAGCGACCGCCGGCAATAAAAGTAGTGACCAGTAAAAAAAGGATATTGTGTCTGTGTACAGATCTTTGATTTGCTGGCGAACAGTTATGATTCTTAGGGGTTGATATGAAGGTAACTGTGGAACCGAGCCGCCCCGCCGACGGTCCCTCGATCGAAGCTGCAGGGCTCGAGCGGATGAAAAGGGTTGTTCGCTGCCACGTTTAAGTGGCAGCGGAGCAGGTTTCGATCCAGGGCCATAGGCGCTGTGGGCGGCGGCGCAGGGAGCTGGCTACGGTGGTTTTGGGGCGGTGGTGCTCGAGCCCTACGGCTGGGGGTTTTTGGATGACTTCGTACTACGAGGTCTTTGAGGTCCAGGTTGAGCCCAATGCATCCGAAGGTGATTCGGAATGGGGGAATCCGCTGGATGTGAGTGGGTTGGGTGGCAGCGACGGTTGGTATCAACCGGGTGATGACTCATCATGGACATCGACGTCCTGGACATCATGGAGGCAGGGATGGCGAGACCGAGGACGGGCTGAGAACTGGTCATGGGATGAGCAGCGTTCATGGGGTGCCCCAAGCTCGGAGGTCATTAGCGTGGACTCGGGACGAGAGAACTGGGCCTGCGGTGATCGTGCACGCCATGATCAGGGACAAGGGCATCGTTCGGGAGCACCGAGCACACGTGACGATCAGGGACAAGAGCATGGGCACTGGCAGTGGACTTCGGCCGCGTCCCCGGGCTCTCCGGCAGCGGCCGGCTTTGATCGCCAAGGCAACCTGCCTTCCGGCGAGGTCTCATCGGTGGGGGATGCTCCTCCGCCGAAGGGGCCAGGAGATGAAGGGAAGGCCAATCCGGCCAAGGGGAAGGTCAGCAGCTCCTACCCGCCGATCTTCAGAGCTAAGGCGGGTGAGAGCTATAGAGATTGGCGGCGAGCTTTGGAGTTCTGGCTGGGAGGAGAAGGCCATCAGATTCCAGAGGAATACATCGGCCCGCGAATCATGGTGCAGCTGAGGGACAGAGCAGCACAATTGGTGAAGCACCTGAACAATGAGGACGTGAACCGCCCTGGGGGCATGCAGAAGATCTTCGAGGTCCTTGAACGCAGCCCCCTGGTTAAGCAGTTGGACAAGCACCGCATTGACCAACAGAGAAAGAAGTTGATGGCCTTGACCAGGTTCGCAGGAGAGTCCTTAGAAAGTTACATCACACGCGGCAGCATTTACCGCACGCAGTTGTTGGGCCTCGACTCGACCTTGGAGATGGGCGAGAGGTTCTACGTTGGCCATTTGTTGGATCACGCCCGTCTGAGTCGAAGGGACAAGGTCTTGGTCAGGGCCCGGGCTGGTGATGAGACCGAAGATTCAATCACCAACGCCCTTGTGGAATTGGCTGCAGAACTAGAAGGAGAACACGGATATCCCATCGGAGCATCCGAGCCAAACTCTGCTGGGGCTAATGGCGATGAGTGGTAGGTGCAAAGGGGGGCGACAGGTGGACTACATGCCGCACGTCGAGGAGGCGCTCGTCAGGCCTTGGCGGCGGAGGTCATGAGTGAGTTCGGCGAGGAGGAGACCACGCAGATGGACACCGAGCCAGGTGAAGAGAGTGTTGATGAGGACGCCCCCCCAGAGCTCAGGGAAGTGGAACGGGAAGCCTATGCCCTCCACTACAAAGCGAAACAGCGCATGGCGGAGGTCAAGAAACTCCGCCAATACTACAAAAAGGGAGACCAAGTTGAAGAGCGCAAGAAGGCCCTCGCCGACAAGATCAAGAACACCGCATGCCACAACTGCGGAGAGATAGGGCATTGGAGCAGAGAGTGCCCCCATCCCAAAGCGCAGCAGGTTTTGATGGCTACGCCCACTTTGGGAAGGAAGCCTATGAGGGCCAAGAAGAGCCCCACCACTTCATCACTCAAGTTGGCCTCGCTACCCGAAGACAGGGAGGGAGACCACGAGTGGGATCTTTTGGTGTCCTTGCGCGCGCCCAACGCGGCTTCACCGAGATCCTCGTCCGCGTGTGCATATATGACGCTGCCGTGTGGGGTTGGGCTGAGTGGTGGGTCGGCTGACCATGAAGTGTTGTGGTGCGTGAAGGAACTCGCAACCTCCGTCATTCTGGACATTGGGTGTTTGAAGTCGGTTGCAGGGACTGCGTGGATCAACCAGATCATCAAGCGGTGGCAACACCAACATCGATGGTTTAGGGTCTTCAAGGAGAAGGAGGCTTTTCGTTTCGGAAGCGGGGACACCCTCGCTAGTCAGTATGGGGTGCAGTTCGAGGCGACCTTCGCGGGGAAGTTGGTAGTGTTGGGGTTCTCCGTGGTGAAGGGAGACTGTCCACCCCTCCTATCCCGTCATGCATGCACCCAGCTTGGCATACAATTTGACTGTGAACATCATCTACTAGCCTCCAAGAAGTTGGGTGTGAAGGGATACGGACTGAAGCAAACCTCTAGTGGACACTACATTATGGACATTGCGGAGTTCGAAGGAATCCCCAATTCGAAGGTACCGGAGGATTTTCGTCTTGAGGCGGGCCAAGAGGCCTGCAGTTTGGCCATGATCAACAATGTCCTTGTGGGCGAGATTTTTGGCTCAGGGACGGCCGTGAACGCTCCGGATCCTCACTCGCACGTCGCGCTCCGCGACGGGCTTCTGTCGGGTATGCGGAGATCAATCTCACCGGAGCCGGGACTGCCCCAATCTGGAGTCCGAAGGCGAACAGCTACAGCACCTGCAGAGCGCCCTGGACATGGACGCGGAGAGCCAACGGAGTTGGGAGGATCCCATGGGGCGGATGAGCAATGCCTCTATGCGCAGCTTCCTGCCGGTCGAGCGCACAACGCCCAAGAGGCAGCCGAAGGCACAGGCCCGAGCCATGGGGAGCGGCCAGATCATCACGCCACCATCCAAGGCGGAGCAGTACCGCATCGACCAGGACGAGATGGAGGAGATCCAGATCGATCAGCTCACGCCACAGGAGATGGCCAAGATCGCCAAGGCCAGGGCCCGGGCGGCCAAGTCCAAGGCCAAGAGGGAAGAGACCAAGGC